ACCAATAAAGTTGTGACTGGCAAGTAGAATTTCCTAAATTAGTATAGAGAGTGGAATTGGGCCACCAAACCAATTGGATCGTTCGTGAAGGTTACTTTATCTTAAACCATAAAGAGAAACATTGCTTCCCTCAAAAACCGTGATCAAAATAATTTCTTTGGGAAGGGTTGTAAATAAAGATTTATGAAGAATAATAATACACAGCAAGCATAAAATGGTTAGTATGTGCCAGGCGCTATTCTAAGTGCTTCACATATATGAATTCATTTTGTCTTTCCAACAGCCCTATGAAGAGGGTTCTGTTTGTCCCCATTTTACAGATAAGAAAACAGAGGCATCAAGAGGTTAAAATACATGGCAAGATCACAAAGGAAGTGGCACAGCTGAGATTCACACTCAACAGTCTGGTCCAGAGCCCTGGGCCTCAGCCATTCTCCAGTACTGCCATCTTGGTTTTGGCTTTACTTTCATTGAGTTTGGCTGGTTTAGTAGTGAAGTTACCCTCAAGTACTTTGCTAATAAGGAGAGCAAACTGCCAGAAGCAAGTGGGGGCCCCTCAGTTGTTACACTCTTGGTCCAGATGTCTGGCTTTACAATAGGTATGGTCACATGAAAGAGATTTAGTATTAGTTATAGTTGAAAAATAAAAAACGACTCTCCATGGAAGTGGTTAAGTATGGTGATATTCAAGGTTCATTTCTAGAACAATAGCTAATAAAATAAATTCATAAGTGACACTTTGATGCCTTTTTCAAAAATTCTTAGCTGTTATTACATAGGTTCTAGAAAATTCCCTTACCTGGTGCATAGTTACTGATCATATTAATCCTCTGTTGTTCACTCTTCTCTTAAATTGGTGACGGGGGCGTCTTCTTACCTTGGCTCTGGCCTGCTGCATACCTGCAGTCCGTCTTCCTCAGCGATCAGCATCTTTATCACCATTTAACAAGAAAATATTTTCAATTAGCCACGGGAAAGACCTGGGTTTACATTCTGCTGTCAGCGCCTACCTTGTTAAGCACATTAGAATCTGAAAAGAAAACCAGTAAAAATCAAACTACAGCAAGAAGTTGCTGACTCAAGTGAAATCTGTGGTCTCCTTCTTGAAATCAGAATAATTTTTCTCTGTTGCTTTGCTTTGGTAAGATTTCCACCTCTCCTGATAAGTGCCTTAGCATGTTTTATGAACTGAAATCCGAATTCACTTTCCTTTAGCAACTAAAGGAAATTCTCTTGCTTCTGCTAGAAAGTTGAGAGTCCCCAAACTTCTCTCTACATCTGAAGCTGTTTGCCAAACAAGTTTGCCTCTTTTTGAACATAGCATCTGTTTTTAAAAAACATTTAAACAGGAAACACATTTGAAAATGTACAAATCTCCCGCAAGTTTATTTTACTTTTAAAATCAGATGAGGATGGGGGCAGGGGGATCATTCTGTTCTTAAGAGAACCCTTTTCCTGTCTGCTCACAAGGGATCAAAGAATATAGGAGAAATATCTGGAGCTTTCGACTCTATCCAGCCTGGGTTGGAGTCTGGACTCCACCATTTCTACTACTTATGGCCCTGAGCCTCCACCTCCCCATCTGTGAAATAGGAGTTACAATGCTATGATCATCTGTGGGCGAGGAGGCCAGTTAGAATCAACCAGGGTAGAAAGGAAGGCAGCAACTTGACTGTAAGATGTTTGTACACTCTGCTCTTTCTAGCCCATGATTTGGCAAGAGAGCAAATGCTAAATACTAGGTCATAATGAGCCTATGAGACAGCCAACCAAAGGTTAGTGGTAGTTTTGGGGTATAGAGGGAATAGCTGGAGTCTTAGAATCAGATGACTTTGAATCTTAACTGCTCATTAGCTGAGTTGCCCTTAGCTAGTTATTTTGCTTCTCTGAGCATTAATATTCTCTTGTATAGGATGGAGACAATAGGTGGGCCTTCTTATGTCTCCAAACTGTTGTGAGCATCAGACAAAGGAACAGAGTATGTTTTGTAAACCGGAACGTGTGATCTAGCTGTAGGGGGCCATGGGGGATGATGGCCCTTCAGATCCAAACACCCATGCATGTAAGCGTCTATCTCTGGATGCATCTAGGATGGAGTAGGATAACGCATGGCCTTCTTGCAGAGCATTTGTGCAAAGCAAGAGTTGAGATACTTTTTCTGGGAGAAGGGTTTTCCTAGGTTTCTTTAAAGGTATGAGTTATGCCTGGTTAGAAAATTTCACTTATATGTGCAACTGGAGAAAGGCAAAAGTTGAGGTAGGAATTTTTATTGCAAACAGTGAAAGGTCTAATAGAGTAGGAGGATGGGGCACCACGAAGCAGAGGGACGGAGTTTGGAGAGTAGAGCAGGATTTCCACGTGCCATTATTAAACCTAATAATTCAAGGTTCAGCATTTGGGGAAGAATAATCAGCCATTGTGCTACAGTCAAAGACATGCAAGTGTTGACTTTCAGAGAGTCTGGGGTTCCTCTGGCCCGGCTTTGACTCTGGTGCTTTGAAGGAGGAATCATGCTATTTTTTCCATGTGTGCCGGGAGTCTAAGTGGCTATGTCTTCTTTTAAAAACTTCTGTGATGATGAATGTGTGCGTGGGATCTGCTTAAGCTGGGAATTCCTTTGAAATTCTTTTTTCTGATTGCTCTCCATGGCCCAGAGAAGGATACTGGCCACATTTGGGTATGAAACTCTTGAGCCTAGCCGTGTTCTCTGGCCCCCGGAGAGTCATGTTCTGTTTGAAAAGAGCTGAAAAGATGAAGGCTGTTTTTTCACTTGGGATAAGAATATCCTTCTCAAAGCAGTAAGGGCTCTGTGAGAATAACAGGATCCATATGTTGAAGCTAGCAGCTAATGTTGAGCATATGGGCCAGTGAACCTTTCAGGCAGAAATATGCCTCTAACTCTCTAAAGAATGCCCCAGTAAACTCCAGAAAGGACCGTTACGTAGGTGATGGATGCCATAGGCACAGCTCCTGGGCCTTCATGGGCCATCGTTCCGTGGAATGCGAGCCGTGGACAGAATGGAAAGGTCTTGGTTGGCCTTGCGATGGATGGCGCTGGCCTGCGGCCCTCTCCGTCAGGCCCCATGCCCCCAAAATCAGCTCTGTTCTGTTAGGGGAGGGTGCATCTGAGGGTCGTTCCTCACATTCTCCAGACTGTTCGTCAAACCGGATGAATGGAAACTTTTTGTCCCTGACCCACAGAGGCAGCACTGTGGAAAGAACACTTCCCTGGGAGCCAGGGGGCCTGGGCTCTACGGCCACCACCACCCCGGCCCTAAATAGAGGTGACCTTAGCGAAGTCACTTTATTGCTCTTTCTCACCTGGAAAATAAGCAGGTGCAACATGGTGCTGGTTGAGACTCCTTCTGGCTCCCTCAGTTTGGAGCTGAGCGCACCTACTCTGGCCAGAGGAAAGCGGTGGAAACACCACAGCTAGAGACACCTACACGGGGTCAGGTGCCCTCGCAGCTCCGTGTGCCACGTAGCATTTCGTTGCTCCCTGTGAGAGTTCAGTCCTGGGCCGGGGGTGAGTCATCCGCAGTAAACCCAGTGAGGGAGTGGCTGGCTGCCCCCGGATTACTACGGTATTTCTTCCAAACCAGCATTTGGACGTCTGAGTGCCCCCCTCCTGTTCTCACGGTGGAGCACTCAGCATCCTCCCCGGGCCTGAACTCTGTGCCTGATTCCTCACTCTGCGCCCTCCCTCCTTCCTCCCGCAGTTCCTTTCTCCACCAGGCCACCCACCTCTCCCCTGCCTCTGCTGCTTCTCCAGGGTCTGCTTTGTCTGTTGTAGGTGGCAAGCAAGGCCGCGCCCCCGGTAGCCTGGTGCTCCCCACGCTCGCCTTGCCAGCCCCGTGCAGGTCCTTTGATCCCTCTGCTCTGCTGAGTGCACCGCGGTCCCTTCATCACGGGAGCACAGACTGAGACGACAGCGGCTCTGCCTGCAAGTCCGTCTCCATGGCAACCAGCAGGCCCTCGGTTCTGCGGTGCAGAGAAAATGGCCGTTCGAAGGAAGGGCTCGCCGAGTCTCTATTACCCGGCCTCTTGAGTCCCGGCCCCTCCTCCATATCCATATCCACTTGAAGAAGCTACATGCGTTGAACCAAATGTCCATTAGCTTTTAGCTTTCCGATTTACTTTACCTAAGAGGCGGGGAGGCAAAGGAAGTTGCATCCAAATGGATAAAAGCATTTTTTCCCTGCCCTAACACTATATTTTCATGAGGAACAGTTATCTGCTCTGAGCAGATATACGAGGGACCGAAGGAATACGGCAATCTGTGGGATCCAGTGCAATGTATTTTGCCTTATCAGTGGAGAGGAATGACAGAGCATGGGGATCGTCAAATAGAAATTCAGCACAAGTAGCCAGGAGATACAGGGAATTCCTCAGGGCACAGGCTTATAGCCTGCCAGGAGGGCACCCGACTAGTTGGAGTGATGATGCTGCACCCTGTCTCCCCTTATGGAAAGAGGGGTGGGGTCCCCTAGTCACGAGGCAAGGTGAGCATCTGGCATCCCCTGCTTCCAGATCCATCTGGATCGTCACAGTGAATCCCCCACAGTCATGAAGCATGGAGACATGGGAACCTGGAGGGTCCCTCGTCACACAGCCATGGGGATGCTTTAGGCTGATTTCCAGAAGTAACTGATCTGTTATTTCTGTGAATCCCAGAGGTGCTGCTGTCTGGAGCAGGACCATGGCCTTCTCAAGAGGTCAGAAACATGTAGAGTGGGGGGGGTCACCCCAAATCTCCCAGGGGACCCCGCGCTGTCTGACAGGGGATAGCCGTTCCACAGGGAGGGATCCGGACCGTGTCCATTCCTGGCTTCAGCACGGGAACCATGGATTCTTTGGCGGTGACAGGTTCTCAACCCAGACCACATCCTCCCTTCCCTCTTCCCTAACGTGAGCAGGGAGACCCCATTTTTGAATGGAAGCTCTGGGTTCCCTTCTCAGAAACCCTAATGTGCGTTTCAACCGGACCTTGTCTTTTCCAGTTTCCCTGCAGGTGGATATCGTCCCCAGCCAAGGAGAAATCAGCGTCGGAGAATCCAAGTTCTTCTTATGCCAAGGCAAGTGCCCTGTGCCTCACTGCATTTAAGGAAAGGCCACCAGCAGAGCAGTAGCCAGTTGGCCCAGGTGTTCGGGGCCAGAGGGCCAGCGAAGCTCTTAGGCCTCTCCCTTCCCCTCACAAAGGGCTTCCCCAGCACAGTGAGATGTGTCATCTGGGCTTCTGCGTGGTGATGGAGGAGGTCTAGGGATTTCCTGAGGAAAGTTAGCACAATCCCCAAAATAGCGAATCACCCGGGTCCCCTGCTCTGTACCCAGCCGGAGTTCTGTGGGTGACGCGGGAGAACAGTGCTGCCTCAGAAACCATGCTTCAGGGGGTCGGCACAAGGCTTACTTCTTAGAATCTCCCAGGACACAGAAATCCAGGAAGGTCTGAAACTTGCCGGAAAGGAAACTGAGCACCGCTGTCCCTTGTGCCGTGAAAATGTGGGTCCCGGGTTTTCCAGGTCTGTTGTGAATACCGATACTCTGTCCCATTGCCCCCCACCAGAGCTCCGGGGTTTGTCAGACCTGGTGCCCTTGTTTTTTGTTTAGAAAATTTGCCCCATTTCCACGGCTCAGATAACATCAGGAAACGTCCTGGGGAGGAGAAGCTTCCAATTAGGCTTTGGATTCTCCGAATGTGACAGGACTGGGATTCAGATCATGGAAGAACCAGGGAAGTTGAGCTGAGCTAGGTGTAAACCATGACATTTAGCAAGCAGCTTTTGGCAGGGAGGGGCCTTTAAATGCAGTCATGATTTGCGTTGGGTGAGGTGCCTTGTGGCCGCCGGATGTGTTCACTCCAGCTTTGCCTTCATTACAGCAATTTAAACGATCTGGAGACACCCCCGTGGAGCCCACAGCACATCTTGCAAATAGCGATATTTATTGAAAACATGATGGGTCCTGAAAGGAGGACGGCTTCATTTCCATACTAAGCATCTGTGCAGGGCTGGGTGGTGTGGCCCGGGGAGGGGCGTCGTGCAGAGAGGAAGGCGCCGCCGCGGCCGCCGGAGCCGAGAGCCCTTGTCCCCGCACAGTGTCTGAGACCGCTCAGCAGCGGCATCTGCCCCTCCTCGGTGCCCCGGGGAAAGGACACATGGGTGATTCTGGCTCTCTTCTTTGCAGGATTGAAGGAGATGAATCTGTCTATCTGAGACGGGGTGCTGAAATGACAGTCGAGCCAGTTTGGGCTGGCAGACGCTAGAATAAAATTGGTTGGAATCCACACTCCTAGACTAGCTGGTGTCTCCTCCTCCTCTCTGGAGACCACAGTCTGAGCCCTCAAGAACAGGCTGACTAGTTGGCTCAGATGCGCCAGGCCCTTGAGCTCAGATCCTAGACATGAATCCCCTCTGCCCCCTCTTCTATGAGGCTGGAGCTCCTCTCTTAGAGCCTGGCACACAGTAGGTCCTCAGCAAATACCTCTCCTCGTCCCTCACTAAGGATAGGCATACTCACGAGGGGTCATCGAGTTCTTTCCCGTCACTGTGAGTGGTGTTTTGTGCATCACGATGAAGCACAGAAGCCAGGGAAGGCAGTGTCACATCCTCTGCATGAATGCTCTCCCTCCCCGGTCATCGGGCCTGATGACCTCTTGTTCGGTAGCTGCTTCTGAGTACCCACAGTCACCCTGGAGGGGACTCTGTCTTTTCAACTCCCACGGTTTGAAAATTATTTCTTCCTCTTCAGTGGCGGGAGATGCCAAAGATAAAGACATCTCCTGGTTCTCCCCCAACGGAGAGAAGCTCACCCCAAACCAGCAGCGGATCTCCGTGGTGTGGAACGACGACTCTTCCTCCACGCTCACCATCTACAATGCCAACATTGATGACGCCGGCATTTACAAGTGTGTGGTCACTGATGAGAGCGGCAGTGAGTCAGAGGCCACGGTCAACGTGAAGATCTTCCGTAAGTGCCTCCTCCATCTTCTTCCCTACTCCCGGTCCTCTCCTTTGGCTAGGAAGACACGTGGGTAGCAGGCAGAGTGGGATGGCAGCCAAGGGCTCCCTGAGGCCTTCCTCCTTCCCACTCTCTGAGTCTTTTCTGAACTGAGCTAAGAGCTCCAGTATGTTCTTAAATGATCCTGGGCCAACTCAGAACTCACAGCCCTGGGTCACGTGGGTCCCAGCTGCCTCCCTCTGGCCTCCATTCTCTAAATTCAAATCACACAGTTCCCAGAGGGCTGCTAAGGGTGCCCCTTCCCTTCTCCAGGTACTGGCTGGCTATCGTACAATTCACGTGTCCCCTTTTATTTCACTCTCCCCTGCTGCTAATGGAGTCCAAAGGCTCGGTGGGGTGTGGGGGATTATTATCTGAACACTCTGGGCCACTCAGAGCAGGCAGTTCCCATTGTCAGTGAAATCCAGGCTGGAGGTGGCATCTCATTACCTTGTTATCATGCATCTGTCTCATTGGCCAGTGTAATGGTGGGTGACAGCTAATGGAACAGTATTGATTGCCATAGTATTTAATCCCATTAAGCCTGCCTTTCTTCTGTTGTGTTCTTCAGAATGTTCTCTGCTCTAGGAAAGCTGGGTTTGGGGTGTCACACAGAGTGGGAGACTGATGACCAATCATTGTAGACTAGGTGTTGTACCAATTCATTGCACCTTGCTTTGTGCTTCATTGGCACCATCCCACAGGGCAAGGGACACTTGGTAAAGACACTCCTTTACCTCCATCGATCCTTTTCCACACAAAGTATGATAAATTTAGCACTCAGTGAATAGACATTGGCTGCCAAACATTGATGCCACATTCCCCTGCTTAAACCAGCTGCTTTGCCGGCATCTTGGCCAAGGATGGGGTGGGACCCTCTCTTGGGCCACTGAAGATATATATGGGTTGAGAGCTGCTCACAGCTTGAATCCAAGCAGCATGGCTCTCGCAAAAGGGGGTCTGTGTGGGCCAACCAGCTGTTTTCCCTCATTCTTCTCTTGCTCATTTTCCAGAGAAGCTCATGTTCAAGAATGCACCAACCCCGCAGGAGTTCAGGGAGGGGGAAGATGCTGTGATCGTGTGTGATGTGGTCAGCTCCCTACCCCCCACCATCATTTGGAAGCACAAGGGCCGAGATGTCATCCTGACGAAAGATGGTGAGGCCTGAATTCCCTGGCGGCCGCCCTAACCCCCAAGCCACAGGGTCCCTTAGGGTTTCCACCTCAGCCACCCTCCGAGGCATTTCAACCCAACCTCAGATCCCAGTGTCCCACAGCCCTGTGCGTGTTCCAGGTCCTGAATGCGTGAATACCTGGAGCTTGTACATTCAGGCACTTGACCTTGTCTCCAAAGAAAAAGGTAAATTTCCAGTAGACTTTTGCTCTTGGCTCTCTGTCAGCGCCAGGGCCACATGTCTTCATTTCGGTGTAAAGCCACCTCCCCCCAGCCCCAGAAGATTGCCGCTGGGGAAGAGGAAGGGCCCTGCAACCTCCCTGCAGATACCAGAATTCTCTGACTGACCCTTGGATGAACCCACCTCTTGTCTCTTCTAGTCCGATTCATAGTCCTGTCCAACAACTACCTGCAGATCCGGGACATCAAGAAAACAGATGAGGGCACTTATCGCTGTGAGGGCAGGATCCTGGCACGGGGGGAGATCAACTTCAAGGACATTCAGGTCATTGTGAACGGTGAGGAGATCTGTTCTTCCTGCTCTCTCCATTAGTACCATCTGGGTCCCCCAAATCCTCCGGAACTTCCTCTTTGGTCTGTTAAATAAATCCCATCCTGACACAAACATCTATCTCAAGTGAATCCCCCCCTCCTGGTAGAGCCTCTGGCTTGTTTTCTTTTTTCTTAATACACTTGCCTTTTGGGTCTCCCTCAACTCGGAGGACTTCTAGTGCAATTCTTGAATGTCCTTCATTGTCTTACAGCGCTAGAAATTTTTTGCCATGCTTTCTAATACTTATTCATCCTTCCTTGTCCTTGAGGTTACCGTAATTGTGAGATTAGTCCCTTGGTTCAATGTTCAAAGAAAATATTATAATCAGTTCAGTCCTCAGAATAGTCAGAATCAGGGCCACAGGCTTATTAATCTTAATCTGCAATGTGTCACATAAACACACCCATGGAATCGATTTGACATTTACAAGATGTTTACAGGAAATTATAATGTCAGTACTAAGAAAATAAGTAAATCGTGGTTGAATTGTTTTGGCTATTGATATATATTTTTTGCCAAATTCTCCCCCTCTCATTCCTTTGGTAAAAACTGTTTGTGCACAGGGCTGTTTTTGACAGTCCCAGAGAAATGTCACTCAGTGAGCTGGTGCATTTTGAATTGGTATTAACCATCTAACCACCGAGAACAGGCATTTTCAACTTTTCCCAGAATCAAGAACCCCCTTTTGGATGTCAAGTTCTACTTACCATGGTAGTTTTAAGATTAATATGCATTAATTGAAAAAATACATCATGATAAATAGCTACTATAAGCTGAATCCTATTTTGAAAGGAGTAAGACCTATTAATGTAGGTTTTAAAGCTATGTTATTAAAAAACAATATTATGTATTACATATAATGATACTTTGTATCGTTGAAAAACACTGATGCATGTTTGTGGGTGACTTACTTACTCAGTTTGGAGTAATTATTTAGGACACATTGGAATTTAGATCCCTTATACTAACTTTGCAGCTGCCTAGAACTCTTGACCTCGTGGCCGTGACCCTCTGACCTGAGGTCCCCGGGAAGTGCCTCCTCTCTAGGCTACTGGGTTCCTCTAGGTTTTCACAACCCCCCCTGACAGCTCTTCTTTCCTTCAGTGCCGCCCACTGTCCAGGCCAGGCAGAGCATCGTGAATGCCACCGCCAACCTCGGCCAGTCCGTCACCCTGGTGTGCGATGCCAAAGGCTTCCCAGAGCCCACCATGAGCTGGACAAAGTAAGAAACTGGCTCATGCCTTTTATCATGGACTCGTGGAGAAGGGAGCATGGAGCCTGCTCTGTGTTGGCATGTCCGTGGCATGGGTATGGGCTGCTTGGGAAGATCAGCTCTGGGTGCAGCCTTTCTGTAGATTCCTACAGAAGGAATCTATAGATTTTGTAGATTCTATGGATTCCTTTCTATAAGCTTCTCTCGCCTTGTGCATTGGACCCCTTCCAATGGGGCAGAACCAGAGGGCGTGGCCTTGGAGGCCCTCTTTGGAATGTTTGTAGGTAGTTTATAGCCCTTGGAGAGAAACAGAGGTTTGGGCAGAGGAAGCAAAGGTATGTATGTGGAAGTACAATTTGGGATGTTGACTTTCTGTGAAGACTGAGTCTTTCCCATGGGCTCAGTCTGCATTCTGTGGAAATGGGTTAAAAATGAACATCTTACTTCTGTGGTCAAAATCACGGCACTTGGCATTTCTGCACCATGTAGGGATGGGGAACAGATAGAGAACGAGGGAGACGAGAAGTACGTCTTCAGCGATGACAGTTCTGAGCTGACCATCAGGAAGGTGGATAAGAACGACGAGGCCGAGTACGTGTGCATTGCCGAGAATAAGGCTGGAGAGCAGGATGCATCCATCCACCTCAAAGTCTTTGGTAAGGACGGTGGGGTTCAAGGTCATTGTTCTGCCACAGTTCCTCTTACCCCGCACACTCCATCCACCAGCAGGACCCCATCCTCCAGCAGGACCCCGTCCTCTCTGCCTTGGAATCTGTTCCAGGTGCAACCACGTCTGCCATCTCCACCCCTATGCCCGAGTCCACGCTGTCTGCCTCCTCTCTTGGTCAGTGACACAGTCTCCACCCCATGGTCCCCTTCTGCCCCTCCTCACAGTAGCCAGAATGACCTCAAGCACCAGTCTTCTGTTTAAAATCCTCCCATGGCTTCCTGTTGCAACCAGAATAAAATCCAGACTGCCTGCCCTGGCCTGTGAGACCTAACCTGAGCTAGCCCCTGCCTTCCTTTCCAGCCTCGTCTTTCCTCCACTTTGCTCCACACTGAAAACTCTCTAACCCCTCAGGCCCCCCTTCTGTGGCTCAGCCAACATTGAGCTTGTTCCTTGTCTTCGGGACATTGCACTTGATACTTCTCCTGCTTGGAATGTCATTCCCCCACATCTGCTCTGAGCCGCCTTCTGCACCATTCAGACCTCAACTCAACCCGCCTTCTCGATGAGTCCTTCCTGCACTACCCTGGCTAATGCACCACCACCACCCACCCACCTCCGCTGAGCGCTTCCACTGATCTGACTGTATCTTCTTCACCACACTTGTCCTGCCTGAACTGGCCTCATTTCCATGTTTGCTCTGGGGATTGTGGTCTCCGACCTCCACGAAGCGTGTAAACACCAAGATAGCGGAGTGCTGGTTGTTCTGTCTCTCTCCTGCTTTATCTCTGCCACTCCCAACAGTGCCGGACTTGGGAAGGCCCGTGATAAACAGTAGTGACCAACCGGCTGACTGCCTGTGTCCCCCTTGCTTCTTTCCGTGGCCCATGTGAAACGGTGCCACCAAAGTCATGAGAAGAGCCCCTAGTCTCTACTCACTCCATCTCGACAAACTCGGTTAACTTCCATTCATTTGGAACTGAAATGCATTTTGACCTGACCTTGGAAAGAGAATTTGTGGCAGAGAAATGCTTAACCTATTGGCTGTCAACACTTCCTGCTCATGTTTTTTTTAAAACGACATGGGATGCCTGGGTGGCTCAATCAGTTAAGCATCCAACTCTTGATTTTGGCTCAGGTCATGATCTCAGGGTCGTGAGATAGTGCCCCTCATCAGGCTCCGAGCTGAGCATGGAGCCTGCTTGGGATTCTCTCTCTCTTTCTCCCTCTGCCCCTTCCCACTTCTCTCTCTCTCTCTCTCTCTCTCTTTCTCTTTTAAAAAAAAAGACAGGGAAGCTGGTCCACTGTAGATGGTGCAGCTAGGCACCAAGGGGCAGCTCTGGTTCACATGGTTCCAGGTCACTACAGTGTGTGCCTGGGAAACCTGCTTGGGACCTGCTCGTGGGGCCTGATCATAGATCTTTGGAAGATCAAGTGCTTGTGTGCAGCTGGACCTGCTAATTATAGATGAATCTTATTTCTCTATTAATGACATCTGGGTTTAGAAACAGGTTATTAGTTCGGTTCATATCAACTGGATATACTGGAGAGTGAAAGCTAATGGCCTTGGGAAATATTCTTGACAGTTTTTTCTCTAATTCTCTTCCCCAGATTTGAATCACTCAGATTTCAACTCCTTCCATATTATAAAGATAGGTGCATTGTTAACGTATTCCTTCATTTAACAGATAGTGATTAAGCACCAGCATTGCTGGACCGAAGGGCATCTGAGATAGGAGTATGATGTGGTCCTTTAACTCTAAGAAGCATGAGGAGGGAGATGAACATAGAAGCATATAAATTATAATAGAGAGCGTCAGCCAGCAATATTTGAGTGTCTTCTGTGGGCCCAGCCATTGTCAAAGTGATGAGGATGAAAAACATGAGCTCTGTCCTCATCCGTGGGCTCACGGGCTAACATGGGTGACCAAGGCTGAAATTTTAGTGACGACCCATTGTAAGGACTTCATAATGGTAATGGGCACAGCGTTTTAGAGGAAAAAAAGACCTGTGGTCATGCGGGACAGAAGGCAGAGAGGTCTTCACAAACGCTGTGCTGTTTCCCAAGCAGGACTTCCCAGGTGCAGAAGGGTGGGCGCAGGCGAGGCGCCCAGGCCACCCAGGCGCAGACGCAGGGGCGGGAAGACTGCGTGTTACGCTGACTGTGCGCTCCTTGCAGACAGGGGCCGTGTACCCCCAGCTACGAGGACAGTGTCTGGCAGATCGTAGATGCTAGAGTTTGCCTAAGTGAAAGCAGAGCCATTTGTTTTATGTTAATGAAGCACAGTGCAGATGGCAAGGAGAGGAGTCTAGAAATGTGTAACCATCACTTGTCTTGGGAAATTCTTATATATTAGCCCCATAAAGTAATAATACCCGGCACAAAGCGAGCGCTTAGAATGAGTCAAGCACCATGTGAAGTACTGTGTGTAACTGACTTTTAATCTGCAGCACAACACTGTGAGGTAGAGTTCATTCTTTCCCCTATTTCACAAAAGAGGAAACTGAGCCCAGAGAATTGGGTGACCTAACCAAGGAGCCAGGGTTCAAACTCAAACAGTTGGCTTGGAAGTTCCTTTCCGTGAGCTAGCAAAGGGGAGTTACTACTCCATGAAGCTCCACTGGACACAGACTACATCTGAATTACAGATGGGACGGCTGGCAACACCGAAGTTAGCGTGCCCTCCCTTTCCCACCATGGATCACACGGTTTCTCGGTAGAGATACACTCAGTTCTCACTTGGCTGGTCAGGAACAGATCTTGGATTCTTTTCCAGGCCTCTCCGGTGCGGGTGGCTGCCCCAGGAAGGAGGCGTGGGTAGTGAGTCAGGAGCCACGTGGGGCCAGTAGAGAGTGAAGAGCTGGATCAGGTCTAGGGGAGGAGCTAACAAAGCAGGGAATGAATGTAGGATGCAGGAACTGTGGCAAGACAGGCTTTGTCTTTCCACCCACCTCCCTCACCAGGCATGCCCTCCTGTACCCCCCCTCACACACACACAGAGTTTCTTCCCCAAGACCGCAGCTGGGAGAATATAGATGCTAGTCCAGAAGAGCAAATAGAGGAGAGGTGGCCAGACTTGCAGAGACAGGCAAGTAAACCACAGACTCCTAGGGACTTTGTCTAATCCAGCCCCCATCCAGAACGCGAGTCCCCCTCTGTGATCTCCAGGGGAGAGTTCACATAGCCTCCTTGGAGTAACCTGGTCCCTCTTGTACACACTGCTTTTCCTCTCCATTTCACATTCTTAACCTCCTCTCCCTCCTCCTCTGGCCTCCCTTGGTTTAGGAGATTGGTAGGAAGGCCAGGACATGGGGTGGGGAGGGGCTAGCATGGTAGTGCTCCCTCTTTCTCTTACTCTCTGTCCCTCCCGTTCCCCGTGGCTTGCCGTGCGGACCGGGTTCCCCAGTGGCAGCAGTGAGGCAGAGAGCACAGAAACCAATAGCTCGGATGGTAGAACAGGGCTCAGAACTCCTGTGATTCAAGATGGGAAGGCAGTTAGTAGGTACAGGGCACATCTAAATTAGAGACTGCCGTAATTGTACCTTACCGACATCACTTTTCCCTAAGAAAGGGTCACGTTCTAGCATGCATTGCCCTAGTTATCAGCCAGAAGCTCTTTTTACTAAGTACTTACATCCTACCTTTCTTTAAATTTGGCAATGAATTTCCATTGCTTTTCTCCCCCATGGGCCCTTCTGAAAAAGTATTTTTGTCTCCGCGTATTCCTGTTATGCTCACACAAATGCTCTTGAGGTCTCGTGCTGCTGTGGGCTAAGGCAAGTTCACCGGTGGGCTTGCTTATCTGACCCCTTAGGACCAAAGCAGCCTTTGTGAGTTACAGCACAGTGTAAAGCCTGAAGGGAGGTGCACCTGGTCATGTCCAGCCTCTCAGCACAGAGGAGCAGGGCCCCAGAGCCCTCCGTGAGCTGGGGAGGCAGGAGCCTGGGTTGGGGTGGGAATAGACGAGACCACCTCTCAGTGGCAGGGTGCAGAGTCATGGGCATGCCAGAAGAGGAGAGCCGTTGTGCTGGGAACACTCCCAAGGACATCTGTGCTCACAGGAGGGTCCGTGGGGAGAAGTGCAATGGAACGATCTGAGGCAGTAAGTCCCATAGCAGCAGGTGGAAAATAGAACAGGGATCCAAAGTCAAGGGCTCACAGCAGACATTAATTAAGATGGTGTAAGTACCATCTGAAGACAAAACCTGGAGATGTTCCTGTAGATGCTGGTGTGCAGAGGGAAGTGACCTTGCAGCTGTCCCTGTTTGCCGGAGGATGCCCATTGTCCCCGGGTAATTAGTTAGAGCATTCCTTTTCACTCTCAAGAGTGCTCTGATTTGGACAATAAATTATATTGATAGCCTAACCCCAAGACAATATCCTGAGCCTTGAATGAGTTCTGACAATAGCTTTGCTGCTTCTGTAATGCAGAGAGGTTAGGTCATTAGTGAGAAGCTTGCCTGCCTTCCAACAGCCCTCTGTAGACCATACAAAATTAGCTGTTGTTAATAGTGTTTTTAGTAAGAATATAGTTTGCTTTTTTCTAAAGACTTGTGCAGTGCACCCTTTGTAACCCTCTGGGAAATGGAGCCACCAAACCAGATATGAATAGACATTAACTATCCCTTGTTTGTCTTCTATTAACCTTTTGATGCTGGGACAAAGTGCTAGGGGTCATGACAAGGCCAGCAAACACTGTCTAGGTCACCATATCCATCTAGGTTTCAAGAGGCCAAAAATTCAGCCTTTCTGTAACTGCCTCCAGACCTCAAAACAACTGTTCAGTTCAGTGAATTCAGTTGTTTGGCTGAATTTTATTTTATTTTTTTACACTTTTTTAAAGATTTTATTTATTTGAGAGAGAGAGAGAGAGAACACGAGCAGGGTGAGGGGCAGAGGGAGAAGCAGGCTCCCCACCGAGCAGGGAGCCCGATGCAGGGCTGGATCCCAGGACCCTGGGATCATGACCTGAAGGCAGACGCTTAACGGACTGAGCCACCCAGGCGCCCCCAGGCGCCCCTTTTTTACACTTTTCAATCTGTGATTTTAACAGTGTAGAAATTCAACTTTTATTTTATCTTTCTCAAACCTCCTGTCCAGCCGCACTTAACAGTCCATTCAGTATGAGTTGTGACCACCTTGAAAGTCTTATTTATCAAGATCGACACAGAACTTTTCTGTGGGAAAACCTCACTCAAGTGAACTCCATCAGTTCCAATTTGTGATCATTTGGCCCCATTGGATTGAGACATGCCTGGGTGCTTGCCATCAAAAAAGAATTTGCCAAGCAAGCGTTTAGTACAGATTAACTGTAGTAGAATACTTGGCCTATATGGATAATTTTATATAGAAGCAGGTATTTGCTACAGAAAACGCACAGCCTTTAAAGCACTTGCCATTAAAGCAGAATCGGGGGCATCAACTTGTAGGAAGTATATAGACAGTCGTTTATTAACCTACTCAGGAGCAGCGTATGAATTTGCACTTCTTTCAGAAATTATCCCATAAATTTGATTTATTTATTTTTTGTTTATCTAGCCTCGTCTTTTTCCCCATTAGTGAAATAAGTTACATTTGTGCAGCGTTCTTTTCTCTTCTATGGAAAGTTTTGCAATTTCAGAGTGTAATTGTTTTAAATCAGGAAAAGTCAATTTTCTCTAATGTTTTAACATTTAACTCCGATTCCAAATGCTTGTGTTTTCTGGCATTACCCAAAACATTTGGAAAATGAACCCATCTCCTCTCCTTCCTATCCCAGCCCACTCCGCAGCCCGCAACCCGTCTCTTGCCCCATTTCCCTGCTTGAGTCAATACTAACACAGCTCTCCCAGTCAGTGAGACGCTCAGTCACTTGCACTCCTTCTCATTCCCTTCTGATTCTTGCCATGGCTCCTTCGCCCTCTGTTCACTTGGCACTTCCCGTGAAGCCTTCGTGAGCACCTCTCAGAGCTGCCCTTCCTTGTCTGCCCCCCACCCCCCCCTCCCCCAGGACCACCCGGTTTGGGACTCTGTTCCACCACATCTGGGGCACTGTCAGAGTTGTCACAATTGGTTTTCCCACCTCAAGGTTTTCTCCATTCTCAATCTTGAGTTTTTTGCGGATTAACCTTCTTGAAGTACAAGTGATCATTTCATTCCTCTGATCGAACACCGCCAGTGGGCTTCCATCGGCGCCCGGAGATCATTCAAAGCAAGCACTGTAGCCAGGCAGCCATGACTCGGCGCCCTGGGCCCAGCACCACCTCCCCCTGCCGTGATGCATAAACATGGCCCCCATCACACTGCCCTCCTCACGTGTCCTTGCTTCTTTGCTCGCAGTCAAGCAGTAGTCTACACTGAAAATGACTCTATCCCAAAGCTCCAGGTACTGAAGATGTCATGGCCCAGCCCGAAAGCTTCCTCCTCATGAAGGCTCCAACCAGATGAGTGCTCTTCCTCTGCCCCATGCGCTCTCCACCCTGTGCCCTGGATGCTCGTTCTCTAGGGGATCTTGTTGTTAATGGTCTCACATTGATGTTGTCACATGCCTATTCAGTTCTGTAGCTCCTGCAACACCTAGAATAGGGTCTTAAACTCAGTAAGGACATAACCTGTGTTGAGTGGGTGCATGGTATAATTTAAACCCAGAAAGCTAAACCAATCAGATAAACTCATGAACATGTCTTGTCTTTTCAGCGAAACCCAAAATCACTTATGTAGAGAACCAGACCGCCATGGAACTAGAAGAACAAGTCACTCTGACCTGTGAAGCCTCAGGAGACCCCATTCCCACTATCACCTGGAGGACTTCTACCCGGAACATCAGCAGCGAAGAAAAGGTATGCTATCACCAAGAGTTTCCAGGCCATGGGATGCAGGCTCAAAGCAGGTCATGTCTGCCCGGGGCCCCATTCTCTTCGGGGAGCTAGAAGATGGGATGCAGGCCCCGAAGGCCATGCCAGGTCCCACGGCCTCCATCCTCAGACTGCCTGGCCGTCAGTGTGTTTCAGGGCCACAGTTTCCTGCATAGATCTGCAGGAGTGTGAGGTTCCTGGGCATGGTCAAGTTAGGCGTTCTGGGGAGGAAGCGGGTAGTGCTTTTCAAACCCAGGATTACGGAGCTATGAGGAGCAAGGAGAAGCCAAGAGCCTGGTGGTCCAGCTATCATCATATCAAGAGTACCAAAGGGAGTGTGTCCTGGAAATAGCAGGGATCAGAATGAGCCCTATTAATTCTTCTCCTTGTGTTTTGTACACTCATGCTGTACATGCACTGTATGCACAAAAGCTTGGTTGCCTTTGTGTCTGCCTGTATTTTCAGTCACATTTGGATATCATTTTGTTCTGAAGGCAAAAATAATTAGCAGTTTCCACATGACGATGATTACACTGGGTTCTCCAGTACATTCTATGCTCTCAGCTTAAGCTCTCTGCGGCCCATGGTAGCAACCTTCCTGGCAATTTGAAATGACTGGGAAGATTTAGCTTTAAAGCATGTAGATTTATAAGCCACCAGGAAGCTGTCATTATTATTGACAGTATATACGATTGAGGTAACCCCACATCAGGCAGCCCTTTGCTACTGAGTGGGCCAAAAGCAGGAAGAAGCAGCAGCTTGGTTTTAAAGCAATTTAAACCCTCTTATGGCACTTCTCCAATCTCATCTCATATACCCTGTAGTAATGGGCTTCATATTAGTTGGCCAAAGCTTTGTCACCTACTTAGGAGTAATGGCCTTAACTTTAAAGAGCATTTATAATGGATTGCTTATTGACCACAATGTCAAAAATGATAGATCTTCACTCTTCTGCCTGCCTAAAGGAAATCCCCCAGAGGGTAAACTTAAAATCAAAAAGAGACAGGGTGACACAGCAGAGCTACATTTGGGATTTGCATTTGAGGATCTGACTTCTGCCCCACGAATAAAAAACAAAACTAAATCAAAAGGAACAGAAATTTGTTCCCAAAAGCCCGTTATTTTTTGCAAGTTTTACCTCCACAGTTGAATTTGACTTAACAAAACCTCAAGGAACTGCTAAGTATTTTTGAAACTCACATATGCTGTTCGATATTGTGAAAACCAACTGGATTAAGAAACGTGGTGTTTACTTGGATGGTTTCTTTATCAACATTGGAATTAAACCCCAAGCTCAGATTTCAGCTCCCATCGTGTATGTTACGTGACTGAATGTACATTTCAGGGCTTAAACCGCAAGGCTGCTGCTCAGCCAATTTTTCTACATCAGGCTTGTGATTTGTCCAGAATGACCCAGTGTATATCGTTGACCTACAGTGAAGGACAGAAATTATATCTATCCCAGATGAATGATGTTTTTAAATTCAATGTCTTTTCTAGGAATAGCTCCACAGCTAAGCTAGACCAGAAGGGTTATTAAGATTTGTGCCTACCCTAAGTTCTTTTATAGGTGGGCACTTCTGGCCTGTATCTGTGAATTCATTTTTACAGGATGAGAACAAATAACCAGGCGCTAATCCACACTCATACTTACTAAATATTGAGACAAAAGGTCTCCAGCAGAGACCATCTAAGACCAAGTAGGTGCTGTATAATTCAATGATCAGTGTAGGTCATTTGTCTCAATCTGAGATAATTATCTAAGCCCAGCCACATAGGTTGTATTTGGTTTCTTTTACTACGGACTGCCTTCGAGTTTACTCAAAGTGACACTACTGAAACATGCGTGAATCCGTTGTTAGAACAAGTCCTCCAAACCAGCCAGTGACATGACACCATATTAACATAATTGCCTAAATGGAACCCTACTACATAGAAAAGTTGCCATTTCTATTAGTTATATATTAACATCAGAGAGGCTTGATATCCATCTTATACCGTGGAAAGCTCATAATTAAGAGAACAGAGGGCCTATCCATGCCGGCCGGACTCCGGGTAATCAATTTCACTTTGATCTGGCAGCCCCTCGTGTTCTCCACCCTCTGAAGGGGCATTATATATAATCAGGGATCAAGATGATTAGAGGCACCGTATTGTAGGAGTAAAAGAAAACAATTTTCTTTTTAAAATCAGGATGATACACGAAGCAGATAAAAACAACGATTGTTTCTACCTGTTAAGCTCTGGAAGGCTCCTGAGAATTAGACTGCACAAAATACTGGGATCCTAGAAGCCAGGAAGGACGGTCCCATTTGAGGTTGTCCAGTCTCACCTGGCATTCACTTTGCCGGAAGTTTATCTGCCGGAAAGGCTCGTGGTCCCTCCCTGAAGGGTGACGGTGTCTGTCCTCTGCAGGCATCTGGCCAACACTGGGGATCAGGAAGGTCTGCTTCCTTGCCCCTCCCACTCTTCAGTCTTCCCACCTCTGCCCCTCAGTCCTCTGGGCGAGAGCTCTTGGATTTTCCACTAGTCTCCAGTCTTCATGCGTCAGTTCAACCCCTGGTGCTTCCTGGTGGTCCCGTCCTAGAGAGCTTCAGTCCACTGGCGCTCCCCTAAAGTTCTGTGGAGACAGTGTAGCTAGTGCAGATTTCCATGCAGTGAACTGCTCCCTTGTTCTGGACACCATCAGGCAGCTAAAGTATTAGCCCTGCAGCAATTTCCTCATTCTCTTGCCTCATATTGAGCTTGTGGTCAACTAAAACGCTCAGCTCTTTTTTATGTGAACTGCACTGAAGCCACATATCCCCTTATCCTGTTCTTATGCAATTGATTGCTTCACCAAAAATGCAGAATTTTATATTTATTTCTGCTAAAAACTGTGTTTTGTTTGTTGCAACCAGACATTTCTCAGTGGGGTCACTATGGCAATTTGGGAAGGCTCTTCCTTCCTGGGATGGTCCCGTGCATTGCAAGATTTTTAGCACCACCAGTCCCCTTCCCTCTAAATGCCAGCAGCCACCTCTAATCACTTTGATGACCAAAAATGCCACATACACAAACTCTTTCTGGCTTGAGAAACATTTCAGTCCATCTTTCTAACCAGGCAAGTCTGGCTTTCCTCACAGCTGTCTTTAGAGGTCTGTAGGTCTAGGGCATTTCAAGCCACATGGACCCCCCCTGTTTTATGTGTTTTTAAAGTAAGGAGGTCTAACAGTGAGTGGTGACCCCACTTCACAAAGCCCAAAGGCGGAAAGTTCAGTAGCCTTCCCCAGGCAGCTGTGATCCAGCATCTGTATTAGCTGTTGCCTCCAACCTCGCGTGAACACTTAAATGAAACATCTTTGTCCAAGCCTCTGATAAAAATGTTGACTGGGACAAGGTCAAGTGCAGAGCCCTTAGAATGCTCTCACAGCTTCCCCCTGGGTCATTGGCTTGTAAGGTAGAGCACCTAATGCCACGGTGCTCCTCATGATTTTGATGACTTTTGCGGAAGGTTCAATGATTTCTTTAATTAAGTTGGTTACAGAATAAGCTAATTAAAGCAGCTTGGTCTTTTGCTTCATTGCTTAGTTAAGTCTAGGGTTTGTCTGGTATTACCCTTCTTAAGAGAAGAGAGAAAAGGCTTTCAACCATAGGCACAGAATTAGTAACTTTCTAATGGATCCCAATGTTCCTCTTCATTAAAAAAAGAAGGGGGGGGGCGGGAATCAAACAAAAGCCAGTTCACTGAGCCTCATTGTCACACCCTATCTGATCGCGTCTTTCGGTGTAGTCCAGCTGCTCCTTCGAGATTGATTACTGTCAGTCTGCTAAGCTTCAGCTAGTTGAGTCGGTTTTGCTCAACAACTGATAACAGCTAAGCTAAATTTGGGTCATTAAGACCGTTAGGGTAGCTCATCTGTCTGAAAGTTAATCCATTCATTAGTCTCTATTATGTTGACCAAAAAGAAAACAAACCATATTTTGAACATTATAGTGGGTCAGTTTGATCAATGTGTCTGGAGGTCATTGTGATAATGCAGATGCAAAGAAAGTTTGCACGTCCACATCATTTCGTTGCTCATCCTACCTAGACTCATTTTAAATATTGCAGGTATGTGAGTGAGTGGGGCTAACTTCCAGGTGCCATTTACATACTGAGCAAGACCTTTGGAGGATGATTTGCACAATCTGTTGCTAGCAGAACACATTCTCTGTGTGCTTATTTGAACCTCTTATTTGAACATGCCTTTGAAATGACTGGTACAGAAATTCATATGAAACTTTAATATTTGAGGAAAAGAAGAGGGGCAAAGAATTGAGATCAGAAGAGATAGATAGGAAAAAAATGGAATTTCATGAGCCTTGAGTCTTTAGCTGATAGAGTATCCCACAAATCCCACAAGTAAGAGAGACCTTTGAAATTCTGGATTCGCTGGAAACTGGATCTTTCTGTCAGCAGGAAGAATTCCTCTTTCGTACAACCTAGGTGCCCACATATAAATACTGGAAAAGGTGCCTCGTTGAGCAGTTAGAGTCTGGCATATTCTGCGTGTGGGCAAAGGTAGAGCAGGTAATACTTTAGGATAACAGTAGGGATGCTTCACTCTAGTTTATTTACATATTCCTACAGATTCCTACAAATCCTTATTACTTCTTAAAAGATGTGAGATGTGAGATGATAAAATGTGAATAAACCTGGAACTTAAAATTTCTGGAGCATGACTAATCCTATCCTAATGTGTTTTCTGTGTGTGCATATCAGATTGTCTTAAAGTGAGCCACACCATCACCAAATTATCAGGGCCGAGGCATATTCCACCAGGTACACAGGCAGGAGGTCAGGCTACTGGAAGCATCTTGTTAGTAGCAACTACTTATTCTAAAAGCCACAAAACCGTACTGATCTGGGAGAGACACAAGAAGAATCAGATTTGAAAAACAAACAACTCCATATGATATAGCCCTTAAAAAACGATCTTGATTCATGCAGCCCTGGCATGTGACAGACAAGCTTCTCGGTGATGTGGACTTGGCAACCACATTTGACATGTTGGCCCACTGTCACTTTGGTCTCTGCATGTTCGTTCCTCTGTTCTCACTTTTTTCTTCATTCTGACATCACGTGACATAATCCAACATCTCCCTCCTCGTTTCTCACAAAAGCTCTTTGCATTTAGTGGACTCTTACTAAATGTTTGCGGACTCATTTGCATTTCCTGGATTGCATTGCTGTGTCTCTGGCATCTGTTCTTTCCTTTCTCCATCTGAACATCAGGGACAACCAGGCACTCATGCCATCTAATAAAAAGAACAATGCAGGTATGATGTTTTTGAATCCCGGTATGAAAACAGAAAAACCATAAGCATTGTAGATTCCCAAGTGCCGGATAAGTAAAATATCTAGATGTGGGCAGGAAAATAACCAAGCCTCTATGCTTCTGAGTTGACTCAGTCCTTTGTGAATGCTGTGTTGGATGACGGTGGTGCACGCTCAAGCCTGCATGCTGTCTGGGCATTCCTCTTAAAGAACTGACTGGAGCCTGCAGCAGCAGAGATGGCTGGCCTGAAAGTTTCCTGACCCACAACTTTAAGGACTTCATGCTTACCATTCTCTGCTCCTTTCTTAGTTCCTTTTTTTTTTTTTTTAAGATATAAACTTGATTTTTAATAGGATGCATGCCATGAATTAGAAAAATGCATGAGCACCAAATGGCATTAGTAGTTTTTCAATAAGCTGTCTGATAGAATCCAAAGGAGGAAACCTACCCTCTAAGTATCTCTAGATTATGGGGTTCGTATTAGTCGCGTCATGAGATACAACGAGAAATGCTCAAGACGTTTTACAACAGGAGCAGTCGAACACGTCTGCTGGTGTCCATGTGTATTCCTACCAAAGGTTAGGAAAGCCTTCTCCTTTGAATGATACATCTTAATGTGTGGAAGGGGGGAAAAAGCGGAACATAAGCTAACTCCTAAATTAAATTGGGTAATAAACACACCATTGAAAGTGGGCCTTGGACAAAGTTCTGAGTTAAAAAGCAGCTGCATGTGCACGGAATGCAGTGTGATACATCAATTCTCTGAAGCAACATGTTGTAAAATTTTACTGCTTTCTTGTTGTGTTTTATATCTTGTTCTCTCCAGGCTTCGTGGACTCGACCAGAGAAGCAAGAGGTATAGCTTACCTGACCACTAGCCAGTCTTTAGTTTTTGAAAGCATTCTAGCTTAACTCGCCATTCCAGTTCAATAACCAGACATGCTAAACTAATTAGTCATAGAGTTAGATTAAAGAATAGGTCGATAGTGGTAGACGTTACTTAGAAATAGTGGCGTTTTAGGATGAGCAAGCAAGCTGTGTTGGGAGTGGATGAACAAATCCTTATTACTTCTTAAAATTGGATCTTATTTTCTTGCTGGTGCTGGTAAAATCACATCCAGGTAATTATACTTACAGAAATAAATCGCTCTAATTCCCAGGCCAGGCTTTTTGAAATGACAAGATTTTTTTTTTTTTTTTTTTTTTTTTTTTTGTGACTCTCACCTGGTTGATGTGGCTTTGGGTCATAAAGTCATGGAGTTAGTGGTCTAAAAACCCACTCAACCCTTTCCAGCTCAACTCATCTTGTTGCTCGCTTATTTTATAATGATTGGTCTTGGTAAATGATCACATCACATCCCATTTCATGTCAAAGCAATGCAGACGACATCTCTCCTTGGTTTGCCCAAATTGCTAAACACACATATGTCACTTCGATAGAGCATTAAATTTATGAGATCAGCACGATTTGGCACAAACGGTTTTATGTTTTTTAGAAGGCAGTAGCATTTAGCCTTTGAGCTTTCTCTGACTGCTTGCTTCAGCTTGGGTAATGTGGGACTTTGTTTGGAAACTGAAGCTAAATATTAATCTTAAGATTTTAATGTTACACACCCAAGACCCTAATTACAATCATGCCTATTGCTTTTTTCACTGATTTGTGTGATTAAGTGACAGATAGTGAAATAAAAACCAGTATGCTTTAGAGGAGGTTCAAGGATCAAACCCATAAATATTTTTTTAAAAAAACTAGCTTTTGTCTCTTCTCCAGAGGAAATTTTGATATTGTAATAGTATAAATGTAGACTATGTCAATCCTATACACTGTATTTTAATCAGGTAACCCTATCCTCTTAGTCTTCCAGAAATGATAATTATTCAGAACACATAACTCCTGTGTTCAGGTCGTGGCTATAAATATTTAATGCTGTTTAATATTGAGGAGTTGACTGCCTGTCCCCGGGCACGGATCCTAGTTTCTGCACATGAACACACTGTCGTGATCGAACCTAGTGTCTGATAAGCTCACTTTGTGTCCTACCTTCTTCCTTGTCATGGGGACCGTAATCAAGTGCGCATCCTGCTGAAATGCCTCCCTCCTACGGCACAGAAGTCGCTTAGTGCTGTCCCAGGCTGGGTGTTCTATTGCCCCAAAGTCACGGACCCATCCGGGACTGGGGAAGGGAGAGAAGAAGCGTTCATTATCAGCCACTTCTGAGCAACTACAGATCTCATTCTAGTTGGCCTTCCGCTTCTCCCCTTGTCATTCTGATTTAAACCTGGCTGGAGGGGGAGGGGAGATTTATCAGGGAGCATTAAGGGAGGTTAAGAGAATTACTATTATAAGAGGAAGTAATAGGTTTACTCCCAGGAAAGCAGACAACTCACTTCCGGTTTCCAGAAGTATCCTTATCTTGAGTATCTCACTCTGGATATAATTGACTTTCAAGTGAGTGCCGCCCCTGGGGCTCAGAAGTTCCATTCCTTCCTGTTCGTCTCATTCAGAGATGAAAACCATTAAGTCCAGATGAGCTCCAAAGAAGGCTTGGGCTATGGCCAGTTTCGTTCTGTAAGCTCAGAAAATTCACACTTTTACCTGGAAGAAGGGATGCAAAAAATGTTGATGAGAAGAATAATTGTAATTGCACTGCATGCTATTTTTGCAAAACAGGGTCTTCTTGTCCCAGCTCTCCTTCCATTCTTGCCCAGAGATCATCTGCTTCCTCTGCAGGCCTGAACTATCAGCATGACCCCTGTCTGGATGGCTTGTAGGTGGCACTCCCTGACTTTGCCTGGTGTCAGAGGGAGACAGTCTAATTGCACGGGAGACTCTGCTTCCCCTTGGAGGGAGAACTGGGCATCTGACAAATTCCCATCATCAATCCTGTCGTGAGCCACTGCAAAATGAGAATTCTCTGTAGAGGACTGTCTCCTGGTCTGTTGACACAATTAAATGAGAAAATTTTCCACATAGAGAAATTAAGACCACGTAGAAGGGGAGAAAAGTATGGCTGTCAATGAAACCACTTCCCAAGCTTCTCTTCAACCATTTTCTAGAATATTCTGCATAGACTGTTCGTGTCCTGCTTTGTTGTTATTTGTTACTGTCCTACTCTTACCTACATGACTCTCTTTGCATCTTTTGCTGTAGTATTGCTTCCATTGTGGAAATGTTCTCTTGACTTCCCAAAGATCTGGTCAGTTTTCCATGTTTGTGGGTGTTGAGCCCAGGACAAGCTCCATCTGTATGACAAACAATCCTAGTTCAGCCGTCAGCTGGTGTCACTGTGGGCTGAGCCTGTGTTCTCACTGACATAACCAGAAGGGCAGGGGGTGGACTTCGAACGCTTTCTGCCTTTATCCTGTTGTGTTTGGGGCAGACAGGAGTGACAAACAGGTAAGGTCAGCCCTTTAGAGATACTTGCAGGGATGCTCTCGATGCCACTAGTTTAATGGGTTTATTTTTGTATGGCTCATGGAAGTTGCCACTGGGACGTATTGGGACAACCTGGTCAGCCCACAAGAAAAGGGAGTCCGAAGAGCCAGGGACCCTTGGATGTCTCAAGGTGTTCTAGTCAAGTGTTCCACACCTGTCTGTTGTCATCTCTCACTAATATGTGGCATCTCCTCAACCAGTCAGCTTCGCAGACTTACAGGTCAGATGGTAGTTGAGAGCCGTGGGCATTGGGCACTCCTCTGAGAGCGGAGTGGCCCTTAGGCAGTGATGATTTTGCTCGGCTCGCTGCCGCCTAGCCAGCAGGGGTGTCCCATCTTCCAGATCCGAACCTCAGTGGGGCTTAAATGCCTGAGGTGAATTCATTCCATCAGTGATGGTCAGAGGGACTTTTTGGGACAGGTCTCCACAGAGACCGCCCCACAAGGCCCACGGGACCTTGCTTTTGAGCTGCCCAAGCCGGCTCTGTGTGACATTGCAGTTCTGGGTTTCGGGCTTCCAAACCAGCACATCAGAAGAACCTCAATGAAACAGGTGTTCTTTTATTCTTTAAAGGCCCGACCCCATGGGACGACAGGTGCTATATGCAGAGCACTCACCTGTCCATCTCCACAGAATATCATATGCTGGAGATAAGAGTGTAGCACAGCCTGCAAGGAACGAGACTCGTTCTTCAGATTACCAACTTCCTTGAGGATCTGAACTTGGGCAACATGCCCAGACTTTATCTAGGCCAGCAACCATTTCACTTCGAGTGTCAAGGCAGGAGCCCCGTGGAAATATTCCAGGACCCATTGCCTAGGGACCATAGGTTTATTCCCCTTTTGACCAGTCGCTGGAATTCCAGAGACTCAGGAAGTGAATTATTGTATCAAGGGCTAGAATGCAGAATCTGGTGGTGACTGCCTGGGGCTCTGTGCCACTATCCCTGGAGAGGGGAGCCAGGGACCCTTACTTCCAGCTCAACAGCTCCTCATCATCAAGTTGTTGGACTTTCTCTTGAATGAAATTATTTCACTTTTAAGCCTTCAGGAAAGCGAGGCATCTGCAGAAATACAGGTTTCTTGTATAATTTCTTGCACTTGGCACATTCAGATTTCCCATTATGCATGCACGCACCATGGAACTGGCAGATGGGCAGACTCCTGGAAGGAAAGCTTAGGGTGCAGGTTTCCCAGACTCTCATGAGGCAAAGCTGTCACTGCTGGAATATCTGCAGGCCAGGCCTTTTGCTTCCATCTTAGACGTGCCAAACAAAGTCATCTTGGGGGACCTTGGCTGTCCTTGCCCCAAACCGATCTTGGCGTAGGGTCTAGGCTGCTTCACATAAACTGGGTCCCTTTTTCTATTTTGGAGACACTCAAGTTCCCGTGGTGCTCTCCAGAGCCTCCCACGCTAGTTGGGACCTTAAGTAAGACACATGGGCACAGCTTGGGGAGAGGATGTGAGACTGGTCCCAGACAAGAGATGGCCCGGTCTCCCACCCCCAGCCCTGCCGCGGGCTCTCACGCTCTCTCTTCCCTCCCGGCAGACTCTGGACGGGCACATGGTGGTGCGTAGCCACGCCCGAGTGTCGTCCCTGACCCTGAAGAGCATCCAGTACACAGACGCCGGAGAATACATCTGCACCGCCAGCAACACCATCGGCCAGGACTCCCAGTCCATGTACCTGGAAGTGCAATGTGAGCAGCAGCTGTGGAAGAACGAGGGGAGGGGGACCGTGCAGGGTCAGGCTGAAAGGGGACAAGAGCAGCCAGGACCCGAGCCGCATCCCCGTAGCTCTGCTCACGCTCCATGTGGCAGTGGCCCGAGGCCATTCCAGAGCTTTGTCCCCATGTCACGCCCTCACACTGGCCGAGGCTTCTTACAGGCTCACAAACCCTTCCATCTTCCTGTGCAGCTCACAGGACTGCGGAACCGGCCTGACCTTTCCTATGCCCCGGCCCTGGCTCGGCTCAGGGCCCGCCCGCCCTCCCAGGGCGAGGAGACGGGGTGTGCGGGGCTCCTCTGTGGTGCTGGCCTTCCTGATGGGCATTGCTGTTCCTTGCAGATGCCCCCAAGCTGCAGGGCCCCGTGGCTGTGTACACATGGGAGGGGAACCAGGTGAACATCACGTGCGAGGTATTTGCCTACCCCAGTGCTACCATCTCGTGGTTTCGAGATGGTCAGCTGCTGCCAAGCTCCAACTACAGCAATATCAAGATCTACAACACCCCCTCCGCCAGCTATCTAGAGGTAGGTCGTGGTGGAGGCAGGGGAGGGGGGAGGAGGCACAGTCTGACGCTGGATAGGCTCCTGTATGCAGCTAAAATCTTCTCTCTTGCTCCTCTGGCATCCTGACCAGCGGAACCGTCGGCTACAGAAGAAACTGAGCCTCAGCCCTGCCCCTTCTCTCTCCCTGGGGCCAGGTCGCAGCCCAGGAGGCCGAGCGTGCCTCTCTCACTGGCCCCTTGGCAATTTTCTCTGGCTTAAGGCTGGGCTGGAGCTAATGGTTCATGCTTTCCTGGTTCTTTCCTTTACAAATTGGTCCAATAAGTAAAGATATGAGTCGGTGGCCATTCCATGGGACACTTAGAACCCACGAGTTCCTTCTTTCCAAAGGTGACCCCAGACTCTGAAAATGATTTCGGAAATTACAACTGTACTGCAGTGAACCGCATTGGACAGGAGTCTTTGGAGTTCATCCTTGTCCAAGCAGGTGAGCACCCCGTATGGCTGCCCTACCCTGACCCTTCCTGTCCTATTCCGTGCCATTTGGTGACATCAGGAAAGTGAAAGAAGAGAGGGACAGGGTAGCCAAAGACAGAGGGTCAGGAAGCAGGGAGCCTATGGAGGTTCGAGGGTGTGGGTACAGGGCATGTTGGGAGAGAATCATAAGGTGAGGTGGGCTGGAGGACAGGATATAGGTGACAGGATTCCCAAGAATAAGCGGAAATGAGAGACATGCTTTGTGGCTGAGAGTTATGTCCTGGACCTAACCGGGCTCACCTGGGTCTCCGTATGTGCCCTCCCCACAGACACCCCATCTTCACCATCCATCGACCAGGTGGAGCCATACTCTAGCACAGCCCAGGTGCAGTTTGATGAACCAGAGGCCACCGGTGGGGTGCCCATCCTCAAATACAAGGCTGAGTGGAGAGCAGTGGGCGAGGAAGTGTGGCATTTCAAGTGGTATGATGCCAAAGAAGGTAAGTGGGGGAGAGTCAGCGTTTCCTTTAGAAGGATGGGTTGCTTGGTGTTGGGCAGACGCTCACCCCAGGTCCTGGCACCCTGACAGCCCGTTGGGGTGGTGTGGCACAGCACTCTCACCTGCTGCGGGTGCCACAGGCCAACACCTGCCATCCGCTCATCTTCCTGGGTCGTTTGCCCCTTTAGCTGTTGTGAGCAATACTCCAGCAGCACAATGCCTGTCCCTCTAGAATGAGGGCAGGTCGCATCTCCTCTAGAATTACTGGCCTTCTGTCCCCTGGTACCTCAGAACCTGCTTCTCGGGACCATGCTAATAAGATGGATGAGGCCATCTCAACCACGTTCCAAGCAGAAGCCCTGCTTAGGTGCTGAGCACAACCAGAGGAGTCCCATCCAGCCCTGCCCTGCACCTGTGGGTGCCCTGGGCTGTGGGTTCTCTGCCATCACCCCCTCAGTCCTGCTTGGCGTACTCAGGGGCTGTCATGTAATTACGGTATTAACCAAATAACAAATTGCCCGAGAGAAAAGTCTGCTCTTAAATCCATCCTGTGATATAGTTCTAAACTAAAAGTTTAGAAGATAACCCTTGGATGCCTACAGTTTGAAGATTCTGAGCCCGGACCATTTTGGCCCGAGGATCGAGTATATAACCCCGTCTGACTCTCCATTTGGGGTTTAATCAGGATACATCAGTGAAGCATGCTTTGTTTCTGTAGGAAGTTTTAATCTCGGTCCTGTCTGTAGTAACAGGGGCAGCCACCTCCCGACCCGGTTTACTGAGAATTTGTTTCACCAGAAAGCTTCCATCACTCTTTCAGCTTTTGGGGGTGGGGGCGGGGTGGCCTGGGAGGAATTTCTGTGCCGTCAGGATTGGAGCCAGGAGAAAACAATCTCTTTACCTCCCTAACTTCCCTCTGAAACCTCACACCAACTTACGGCGAGTTGATCCCATGTCACAATCTGTCCAACTGGCTTTTTTTTTTTCTTTTTGTCATTGCTACAGCTGGCTTTCCTCCCCCCTTTTTTTGTATTTTTTTGAATTTAAGTATAATTAACTTTCTAGTTCTATTTTTGTTGTAGCAAAATATGTAGAATATGAAATTTCCCATTTTAGCCATTTTTAAGTATACAGTTGAACAGCATTAAGTACATTCACATTATTGTGCAACCATCACCACCATCCATCTCCAGAACTTTCTCGTGATCCAAAACTCAGCGCCCGTTAAACACTAACTCCCCACCGCACCTCCCGCTAGCCGTGGCAACCACCGTTCTACTTCCTGTCTCTGGGTGGTTGACTATCCCGACTGCTTCGGAAGAGTGGAATCGTACAGTCATTGTCCTTTTGTGTCTGGCTTATTGCACTTGGCTGATGTCCTCAGGGTTCATCGACATTGTAGCCTGTGTCAGAGCTTCGTTCCTTGTTAAGGCTGACTGATTCTCCATTGTATCAGCACCCCATCCTGGGTATCCACCCACCCGCTGATGGACAGGTGGGTCGTTTGCCCCTTTAGCTGTTGTGAGCAATACTCCAGTGAACCTGGGCGCAGAGGAATCTGTTCCATTTTGTGTTTTCCATGCTTTTGTGTGTATAGCCAGACATGGAACTGCTGGATCACATGGTAACGCTAGATTTAAGTTTTTGAGGACCCGCCGTGTTGCCTTCCACAGCGACTACGCCATTTTACCAATAGGCTTTCCGTCCTCGGTGATCCTTCTTGTCTTCTCACAACAGCCAACATGGAGGGCATCGTCACCATCGTGGGCCTGAAGCCCGAAACTACGTACGCCGTGCGACTGGCGGCCCTCAACGGCAAGGGTCTGGGTGAGATCAGCACGGCCTCTGAGTTCAAGACGCAGCCAGTCCGTAAGTACACCCCACACCCACCCTCTTCTCCTGGGGGGGACCCCGAGCTGCCCCGTCCTTTGTTCAGATGACAGCTTTTTGTCTTTCAGGTTGCTCTGCTCAGGGAGGGCACACCTCCCAGCCCCTTGGCCCTCCGTGATGGCTGATTCCCAGCCCTTATACAGTCTTTCCCAAAGAGCTTGGTGACACTGTCGCAGTAGCTGGCCCCGCTTGTTAGCATGGCAGCCAGGGGGAGGAAAACACTGGCACCTCGTGAAGGGGAGCTGGACAGGGACAACGCAGCAGTGTGTCGTGGAGGGATTTGGCAGATTTTGCTTTTTGACGCAGGTCACAAAGGCCCTAAAGCACCCCGTGACTTGAAGGAAGAGGGAAAAGACAATGATGGTTCGTGTAATTAGTTGTGGGATTTTTGAGGCAACAGAGATATTACGTTATAGAAGAGAGGAGGCTGCTATGGGATGTCCACACAGTAGCAAGACCCCAACAGTGCAAAAGGGGAAGGAGGGCTGAGGCCTCCACCTCCTGTTCCCCCTCCCTCCCACCACGAGCACACCTCAAGGTCTCCCTCCCTTGTGGCCGCTTTCGAGAGAGGCGCTTCTTCCTGATGCACTCAGGATGGCGTCTGCTTTCCTCCATCATGCCCTCTTTCCTTACAACAGGCCCGCCCTGCTTTCCCTTCCATCCCACCAATAGCTCTGGGCCAGCCCTGCTCCGGGGACACCCTCCGCAGACCCAGACCACTGCCCTGGGAGGGCCCTGCGCCCACCCAGCTGGAGCAGGTGCAGTAGACGCAGACGCCTTGAGCAGCCACAGGGCTCCCTGGGTCCTCTCTGATTCCTGGGCTTTGCAAGCACGCAGGGCCATCCCTCACTTCCTTCTCTTCGAAACCAGAGGCCTGCAAAGCAACCCCCTACCTCTTCCAGAAACAGAAGGCCCACCTCATCTTCCTCCTACAGGAATTGCTTCTTTCTGGATTTGAAATAACTTGATGATTTGAATTTCCAGCTCCATGTGCTTTGCAGAGCCTATTCATTTCTTTTACATCTTTTTTTTTTCCCTTGGGTCTGTCTCTTGTCTTTTCTTTTCGTCTGTGTTCCATCCATGGGAAATGCAGACAGCTCTCTTCCACGTAAGTGCCTCTTCATACCTCATTATCTGTTTCGATAGTGTTAACATCCGCTAGTCCTAGTTCTTAATTTAGTTCCGGTCCCTTTTTTGTCCCCTAGGCTGAAGTAGATGATACTGTCCGGGCCCTAACCACACTGACCTTAGTCTAGTTGTGCTCTTGTTAATGTCTGTAGGTTTTTACTCCAAGAGGCTAACACGCGTCCTGTTCTAGAGCATGCAACTTTTGTGTCCTTTGAAGCTGTGTTTATCTATTAATTTCTGTGTGTGACGATGACCCCACGGCAAAGCTGATGCCCACCCAGCCAAGCACAGTGGGAGTCTGCAGGGGGTCCCCGAGTAACACACGACAGCACCAGCTCACCTGCCCAGATGCCAGAAAATGACCACAGCCTCACCAGGGATTCAGAATCCCTTCCCGGGGAAAAGCAGCTGAAGGGATTTTCACATTTGCTTTTAGGAGATAAAAGAATTGAGCTCATAGCCCCTTCCCTTTTCTGTCTGTGGTGGCTGGAGGGCTCTGGGAGGCCTAAGCAGCAGCTGCAATTGTAAAGAATAGCATGAGGTTTGGTTCTGAGTCACAGGTACATCCTACAGGCAGCTGCTGGGCAGTTAAATCCCCACTTCTGGTCAGTTCTGTTCTTCAGCACTAGGTTCTTGCAAAGTGCACGTCCATGTTTGGGAAAGAATGACCGGCCACTGAGTAACTTCACCGTCAAGCATAAGAGAGGGGAGATGCTCCATGGGAAGGACATGTAAGCTCTAAATAGCAAATATAAAGAGCAAGGGTCACAGGAACCTGGCCCGCTGCTCTGGGGGGGCCCAAACAGGTCTGACCTGGCCTGCAAGATGCCCCCAAGCATCACTCCCGCCAAGCCCTGCCTCTCGCTTCCTGGGCTGAGCTCAGAATAGTAAAGGGGAGTGTTACCCGGAGAGACTCGGAAGAAAAGGTATTCAGAAAACTGCACACTCTTTCCATAAAAAGCTCCCAGCTCCTGAAAGGCACTCAGGGAAACTTATCTTTTTAAAATTTATTCAGAAATATTGCAGCAACAGCAGAAACTAAGTAGCTCCGTGTAGGCGTTCTGAGATTTTGAGCAAGTGCTAAATCCATGATCTCAGCAGACTTGGTTCCTGAATGAACCGGTTCTGGAAGGAGTCAGGATTGGGGATTGGCGTTGTCAGGTCAAGACTGACAGCTGTCTGCTCTGGGAGGCAGCTCTGCCCCGAGTGAACTCAGAAGGAGCACCTCTGACCCTGAGAACACCTTCCTCCTGGATCCTTAATCTGAGCTTTGGTTTCCATGCTTCTGGATTTTATGGGTAAAGGAATGGTGGCTTAGTTATATGACAGAGAGGAAGGCCAAGAGGAGGCTTCCTTTTGAGTTTCTAACCAGGACCTGGGGTCTGAGTACTGAATCAGAGTAACTGGGTCTTCGACTTCAAAGCCCATCTGTGGTTTTCACTCATTGTCAGTTCAGCCCTTACAAAGGTGAGAATTTCTTAAGCAGATGCTATGTTTTAAAACTCAGTGTTTAATTTAAAAAAAGAGAGACCTCCGGGACCTTGTTGTTCCCTGCACCAGGATTCCAAGAACCCCTCTGGAGAACGGAGCAGTCAGCTGTCCATTGCTAGTAGGTCATGCTAATGACATGCAAAGTCAGTTTCCTCAATCATCTAATAAAGTTATGGCCTAAAGGATTAAAAAATCAGACTTCTTCTAAATAAGGAAAATTGTGGCAGAGCCTTATCACTTGTGCCTGTGTCGAGAGCTTGAGCGAGTCAAGAGCCAGGGAAATACACAGAACATCATACTCTTACTAAAGTTGGTTATTATGGTCTTTCCTGTACCCTTGTGACCTTCCTAGAGGGGCCGAAGTGAGGGCCTAGCGCAGGGGGGTATCTAGACCCATCCTGAAGAAGGATCCAGTTGGGAGGATGACTCCAGCATCTGCCACTGCCATGCCAACCCTCGCTCACTGCTACTAGGAAGTTAGGGCACGTTTTAGGAAGGACTTCTCTGAGTTCTCACTCCCTGTCCTCAGAAGGCACAAAGGTTGTCTGAAATCGGGTAAATAAAATCAGCCATCCATTTCGCCGAGCCCAGGTTGGTTTTGGTCTCTGACATTGGCTCGTCTCGCCCACTGACCATGCTTTCCCCCCTGTGATGTCGGGGTACAGATTCACAGCCTGATCCCGTGACACTGGAGTGAGGCCTTAGGGGCACCTAGGGGGAGAAGGTACAGGCTTAATAAGCTGTCGTACTGAATAGAGAGTCATTGTTGCCAGACAACCCCCAACCGCCACCCCGCACCCCCTACCTCCCACCCCCCGCCCCAGTTAGGAGGCAGTAGGTGAGAGCTGGTGCATCTTGCATTAGTTTATCACTTGAAGTTCCTTGAGATGTGCCAGTAAGGGGGTTGCTTTCTTGGTTCCTTAATAGACTTAGCCACATGCAGAGGCATGACCATGTCAAAGCAGGGACGAGCAGGTGAAACTAGCCAAAGCCACAAATATCCCCAAGAGTCCTGCTTCTGAGCTGCCATATCAGAAAGCCTGGCTCACCTGTTTGAAGATTCCTTTGTGTGCAGCTCATAAATGTGTGTGAAGGTAACGAGGAAGCGGTGACTCCAAACAAATAAATAGAACTCCAGCCTGGAAAAAATGTCCCTGTTTCATGTATTTTTAGGCCACATGTCTGCGTGTTGTCATGAAGCTTTTAGGTGGAAAGCTCACAAGCTCTGTTTGCCTTGGGAGGGGCTGCTTCCCTATCAGAGCTCCTGAGGCCCTAAAGACATGATGTGACAGTTGATTATGCATCCTTTCCTCCATGATTGAGCCACGTACCTTCAGAATTTCATTGCCTGAATGTCACCTCTTTATTTGCTTCTGAACCATGAAGCAAAATAGACAATTTCTTTCAGGGGATAAAGATCATGAAGGAGTGTCTACTTTTCCAAAGAGGCATCTTGAGGTTTTTGTCTTCACATCATGCCCCCTTGATGGCACGTTGCAAGTGTAATATATTATGTTTCTAATATATCTAATATAATTCTCATATATTGTGTTTAAAACACATAAAACTCTGTCCCTTTGCCAGAATAATATAGGCAGTGATGCAAACAATTCAAGCCAAAAAAGTACAAGAGAAAGAGATACACTTTCCCCTGAATTAACCAGACCATCAAGTCATGATGAGCTCACAGTGAGTTCAGTGGGCACTTTGCTCTGATTCCAGTGACACTCTACTCATGTGCTTTAATGAGATGCTTGATGCTTCATCTGGAAGAGAAAAGGAAGACCAAACTATGAGTATGCCAAAGCAATGTTGGAGATATGGTGACGTTCTTCCAGATTTTCATCTCGCTCTCAACGAGACTTTGTTTTGTGATTATTGATGGGACAACCTCTGAATATTTGCCAGTGAAAAACTAAAGATCTATTCAGTGTCCGGAATGTCTCAGATGCACCATTTCTAACGGTCCTCCAAGCAGAAAGTTGGGTTAGTGTTACTTTATTCAGTCCCAGTCTCTTCAGCATTCCCTTCCTCCAAGAGAGCATGAGACTAACACTCAGTGTTATTTGCATTGGTCTCCGCGCTCACGGCAGCCTCCGGAGAATCACCTTCTATAGGGTTTTGAAGGGCAGCCATGGTTATAGTATGATCTAGATGCCCAGCAATCCTGGATCTCACCCAGCAGTAAACATCAAGTGGGAGAGTCATTTCTGTTTCTTTGGGACATTGAGATTAGAGAGTGAGGCATACAGGCTTTGCTCTAAGTATGTGCCCTGAGTGCAGACATAAGCCTGTCTAGAAGCACATACAGAGATCTATCACATGAAGAGCCAAAGCCTCCTTTTTCCCCACGTTCACCTTAACCTGGGGTCCAGGTTCCCTTTTCTCCTGACATCTGATCCTGTGAAGGCAGCTGGTCCTGCTGAATGGGCTCTTTGTTTCAGGCAGGGTTGGAGGTCTCTGTAGCTGCTCCTGGCCCAGTCCCTGACCTGAATGCGAGCCTTGGCAGGCACACGGGCTCCCGGTTTGAAGTCAGAGAGCCCAGCTCTCTGCTGGTCCGCGGGCCGCCTGCCCTCACGCACGGCATCTTCCTCCTCACTGTAACCAGCTTCAGCTTCGTCTGCTGACACCCCCGGGTCGGCTCTTCTATTTTTTCATTCAGTGTCTGTGTGCCTCAATGAGCTTTTTTCCCTCTTTTTTTTTTTTTTTCACTTTCATTTTTCTTTCCTCAGTGGCTCCTGCTAGCTCTGCCACCCCTGTTCCATTGTCTCCTCCAGATAGTGAGTATCATTTTCTTCATCCATCTCTCTGCAGGTTGCTTTCCACCAGCCACAGTGGGTCTGCATAATGTTATCTCCTTCACCAGGTGATAATTCAACTCTGTTGGCAGAAAGCAGCGCCGGGTTTTAGAGAAGCAAATGAGAAGAGAGATAGGCGCAGAGCCTCCCAGATTCATGGGAGGCAGCAGTCCCCCCAGAGAGCAGGCAAGTGACAGGCATGGCTCTGGACAGGAAACCCTGCAGTCAGGCATCCCAAGGCTGGCGTGGCCCAGCCCTGTCCCCAGGATTCTTCGTGGGCTGGACCCAAGCTGACATTTGGAGAAACCAAAAGAATTTGCCAGGAAAAATATCTATTCCGCAGGGTCATAAGAAATGGCTTGGGGTGTCGTGTTTTCACCCTTCATTTTAATTGGCACAGTTAGATTCAGACATTGAAATTAGATAGTGAGGCCTGTAGCTCTTGCTTTCTCCGTAAACGCATACTTGTCTCGTAAATATTTGCGGGAAAATAAACAGCGTCTGCTTGCAGATGTGCCCAGCGGTAGGCGTTTCGGCAAGTTATTTAACCCTTCACAAGTGAGCCTTGTTTTTCTCTTCCATGAAGGAGGATGAGTCATCGCCCTCTTCCCCCCCACCCAGCCCCCTAAAAAGCTTAGCAAGCTGGGTCTGCCCACCCCGAAGGAGGACCGCTCAGCCTGGCAGTGATGTCGCCTGGTCGGTCTCCGGCCTCTTTATTCCTGACTGAGCCTCTCTCATTTACGGTCTTACTTCACTTGGCTGCCTTGCGCTTCTGTTCCCCTGGGGACTCAGGAGGGAGCACTATGCCTGCAACTCTGGGGTTTTGAACCCAGCTCTTGGGGGGCGGGGAGAGCAAAGGGAGACGGCAGCTGTGTGAGGCCTGAGGTGTCAGGCCAGCAGGTGCTCAGGGGGCCGGCAGGGTGGCGCCGCCCGCTGGGCTCAGGAGCTGCTGGGCTCTGTGCTCTGCGCATAGCCTCCAGAGAGGACCCCAGCCCTGGGCTCAGAAGCCCCCTAGCCTATCGCTCTCTCTGGCTTAGCAACAGGCCCAGCACCCCAGGTGGTACTTTCCAGGCCGTGGCTATGTCAGCGGGCATTGAGGCTTGGGAACCAGAGACAGCCTTGGGTTCGAATCCCATGTCTGCTCCTTCAGTGCCTAGCTCCGTGGCCTTGAATGAGCCCCTCCATCTCCTGAGCCACAGAGTCCTTATCTCTCTGATGAGGGATAGAGTCTACCTCTCTTGTAGGTATCTGTGAAAATGAAAGACTAAGTATGAAAAACACAAAACACAGTGCCCAGCACGTAGTAGCCAGAATTTGTGGTAAGAGTAAACGAGGGTTATGTCATTTCTTGCCAAATGAGAGTAACTTGTCAGCAAAATCTCTGATAATTTCCTTAAAATTCCCATATTTCTGTTGATAAATCAGGGGAAAAGGCGGTGAGAGAATATCCCCTTCACCAACTCTTTCTTTTCTTTATATCTATATATATCTGTATCCATATAGATATATCTGCATATGCACATGGACACACTCCTGTATAAACACGTTCATGTATTTACTTACGAATATATTTTATATCTCCCTTCTCTCCTTCACCTTCCTGTGCCCTGTCTGCCCTTCATGTTTCCATAGCAACCTGGCCTCTTCCTGCCCTCACAACCACAGACCCGGCTAGTGAGTACAGAGTTATGGCGGCTCTTGGCCAGATTGCTGCTTGTTGCAGAGCTGGCTTCTGGGTCACGGTGCTGCCCGTCGTTGTCCCTTGTGTTAAAAGTAACAGTTGTGAATGCATGGAGGCTCTTCTCCTGGTGTGGTTTCCTAAGCATGCTGTCTGCGTGGCCAAGAGAACAGACCCAGCACCACCAAAAGGGCTGGGATGATTATTTGAAGAATACTCTGCATGAAGAGAGTTTTCCAAATTTCCCTTCGTGTGAAAAAAACAGAATAGGATTAGAGGAACACTAAGGGAACAAAAGAACAGCATCTCCTCCGAGCTTTGTTGTCCCTCCCCTCTGAAGCGTGCGCACACACACACACACACACACACACAAGTAGCCAAGACTGAGAACAAGGGAAGGAAGAGAGAGAATGCTGCTTGGGGAGAGGTGGAGGGTGCAGCAGAGAGGGAAGCCGCCGCTCGTTTCTGACAGCTTGCCCTGTTTTGTGGGGCCTCGCAGCAGGGCCCAGGGGGCATGAGGAGTACACAGAGCACCCCCGGAAAGGAGAGGCCTCCTCGCAGTCCTCCTCCTCAGCGCTAGGAAAATGGCAGCCCCAGAAAGCGTAGCCGGGCCTGCTCAAGTCTGTGTGCTGAGAGTCCAGATCAGAGTGCTGGAATCCATCTGCAGACGGTAGAGTCGGGACCAGACTTGTGGAAAGCATTACACTTCATCACAACAGTGACCTGTTCCAAGCTAGCCTTTATAACGCTCTAATGAGGGGGACTTGTGGGTTAGGCCTGAAGTCCCAAGTCAACTAGGAGCCCCCGAGCACAGGCACGTGTGTGTGTGTTTAGAGTGGTGTCCACAGCCTTGGGGGGGTTAGGTTTTATAATATTTCTGAGTGCACAGAAAACAGTGACCTGTGTCCACGGAGCAGTGGTCGGTGGGAGAAGGCAGAAAGCAGGTGTGTGGAATCCAGCTCCTACTCCCCTCCCTGGGCCGAGGTTTCTGATACATAATTGAACAGAGAAGAAAAGAGTTTCCTGGTTCTGCGTGCTGCATGAAATGGTTCTTTTTTCTACTACAGAACATAGCTGAGGGTCTGCTTTCTTGGGGTTCTCTGCGTGTGTGTGTGCTGCAGTGAATTTTAATTCCTGATGCTTTTGAGGTTTCACTTTGTCAGCAGAGCAGAGCGGGTGACAATGAACTGTGCTCGCATGGGTTTCACTCAGAGGATGGGTTTGTGGTTTTGGTTTTTTGTGTTTGTTTTTTTTGTGTTTTTTTTGTTTGTTTGTTTGGTTGGTTTGGTTTGGTTTTGCATTTGGGAAAGGAATGCAGTTAACCCATTTTTCTTCAAACAGCCACGCTCCTGTGCCTTCCAGCTTGGGGCGGTGTGTGTGCGAGGCATAGTTGGAGAAGGCTACGTAATGCATTTGCACAGCTCAGGTCATATTAATATGTCTCATGGTAGACTGGTCTTCCCTGGAATCTAGAATCCAAAGTTTTCCTCAAGGAAGAATTGGGTGTTCCTTCCTGACATACGTTTAATTTTTAAATATCAGACATTTCTGTCCACGGATAAGATGCCCAGTAGTGACATCAAAAGAGAAGAAAGTTTGTCTTTTTTTTTGCACCCATTTGACTACTGACCCAAATTATAGGTCCCAGTGGATCCTGGGATATAAGGAAAGACGGTCACAATTGGGCAGCAGCGTGTATTTAGCATGAGCATAATCGTATACAATAAGGCAAAAGGTAGCGTGTGTGAATGCGGTGGAACAGCAGAGTAGCTAGAAGTGCAGAAAAATCTATCAATCATCAGCCAGTCAATAGGATTGAAAACGAATAACGTCTCCTGTTTTTGCTAGTGTGTGTGTGTGTGTGTGTGTGTGTGTGTTGATCCATTTTTAATCATGAATTCATGAATGAATGAAGGTACCCTAGATAAGAGCAAAAGAGAAACCGATCAGTTGTGTATCATCCCTGCAGGGCACCATTGGTTGGAACATGTCAGAGCCTGTGCAGTGGGACATGGGACGGACAGGTTCTATCAGCTCGCAGGGGCAAGGGATGTGTAGCTGGGCTAAAGCATTTCTCCTGCATTATTTTTAAACAGTGGTATGCTTTGGGCAGAAAGGTACCTCTACCTCCTCTCTTTGCCCTTCTTCTCTTAGTTTCAACCAGCAATAGCCTGAACTTCCCCTGGTCCGTGCAAGTTAAGGCAGGAAACCCAAAATGCCTTTTGACAGGCAAGTCATTCAGTAACAGATTAGACTGCAAAGACAACATAGGACAAAAAGGAATGTAGATAAAGCCAAATAAGAAAACTATTTGCCTTTAATTGTCAAGGTCAAATCCATATCTTATCAGTACAGCCACAAGTTTAGAGAGGTAGGTATCCACAAATGTCCAAGCACTTGTTCAATGTCAGCGTCTTAGCTCAGGGGGCCAGGGGTTCAGTTTCGTTCTTCAGTGTTGACAGAGCCATTGTTTCGACCACCAGAAGGAAACCTGTTCCCTTCTGCACTGGCCTCCGCCTTTGTAGGTTGTCTCAATTTTGGTATCTCACTGGGGGCTCCGGGATAATGTGGGTAGATGGACAGGGAAGTGAGAAAGGACCGCCAGGACTGCCTTCTCTGGTCTGCATCCCGCAAACCTTACTCAGCCCGTTCCCCGTCTCCTTATGCACCACAGGAAACAGGAAATGGCTTTTCTCAATGTAATGTAATATTTTGTTCCTACAGGGCACACAGTCTTAGGACTTTTCCTGCATGACCCATGTTCTCTCTCATTGCCCTTGTTTCCTGAGGATGCCGAGACATTTTTGGAATCTGTGAATAATAACTTGCTTTTTTTCTTTTCCTTCAACAGTCTCCTGGATTGACTTTGACATCCGGGTCCTGACAAGTGTACATGCTCCTTGATGTATTAATATGCAGTGTTGCAGCTGTATCTAATGCTTATTGGTGTCGTTAACCAAATGCTCTTTATGATTTATTATCCTTCTATTTCCGGGCAGTTTGACTGTCCTCCCAATGTTTCCTATATATGCTGCTAATTTAATTTGATTTCTCCTTTTATTTAGTCTGTGATTTTGTTGTTGATTTTTTCTCCCTGCCCATTGTTTACATCAGTTTTTAATTTTTTTGTATTTTCCATGTGACCTCCTCCACTTTCCTTTCAACCAATCATGTGCGTGCGTATCATGTGACTTTGTCATGTGGCTTGCATGGTGCTGATGATGTCGTCCACGCTGGTGAACAGAAGGTAAAACTCTTTGTTCTGATTAGGGAAATAAACCTGGGACCACAGCCTGGCACCTGGGGCCCACTCATTCTTCCTGTCTTAGATTTCCCAAGTGAAGCCATTTGAGAGATTTCCTCTTGTTCTCAGTTCACCTCTAGAATTCATCATTCTTTGCGGCCTTGACATGACGATTTGATACCATGAGAGCCTTTGGTTCAACATTTCGCTTCGAGAAACGCGGCCCCGCAAACTGCCGTCTGTAGTAAAACCACATTTGCCACGGCGCAGTTTGCAAACTTGAATTTTTACCAGATAGTTCGTAAAAATTATTTCCCAGAAAACAGTTTTGCAAATTACCTTTGCGACATTGTTGTTTAACTTTATCCAGTAGTCCTGAAAACCACAGTTGCTCTAAAATGAGTCATGTCTGTGAAAATGTGAAATGTATCTGTTTGCAACACTGAAACGCTACGGAGAGAAATATATCAATTGCTGTGGTTCTATTTGCTCAAAACCAATGAGAGTGCTTCATAAAATTCATGCAAATTGAGGACTTACTGAAACAAGAGATTTAAGAATTTGGAATTAAAGCAGTTTGGATTGTTGACATGTCACTGTTTAAGAGTGACCCTCCCCCTGGGCAGGAGGGGGGAGGCAGGAAATCAAAGCAGAAGTTAGCAGTTACCATGACTGGAGATCCCTTTGTAATCAAGAAGCACATGATTGACCCTTACAGCAAAGGAAATAAAATTATAGCCTAATTAAGCACAGTGGTGACAAAATAATTAGTTAATATTGTGACTGTCACAACCTTGGCAAAACATTTCTCGCTTACCATAAAGAGAAAAGGAAGCTCTGCTCACAGCTTTCCCACTGTAAAATCAAACACCTATTCAAAACCTGCCCTGGGAGTCATCTGCATTCTGTTCTCTTCTAACTGAAGACTGTTACGTCAGATCACAACCTGAGACACAGACCGGCTGCATTGATCACAAAAGCCAGACTAACACGAATAACCACCCAGTGTGCCCGTGCATGCGAGGGGTCCCCGTTTGGCCTCACTTCTCTGAGGAACTGACTGGGCGACATCCACATGGACAAAACCATCCACAGCTGTCTCGCATGCATGTTCTCTGTTCCTGGTCTGTCTTTTTGTTTCGTGCACCCCACACGTGTGAGCCCTGTGGATGCTACCCTCTCACTTCGCCCTGCACACTGACCACCTCCAAGGACGCCAGCTTTCTTGGCGTGGCCACTGTGCTCCTATTGAGTCCTATTTACAGCCAGAGTCCTGGACGAGGTCTGGGGTCAGAGCCATCTGCCATTTCCAAAAAGATGTTTGGTGTTTACACTGTATGAAAAGAAGTCGGGGTGTGCCCAAAGCAGGGGAGTATCAGATGTGCTAAGAACTTTGTTCTGCCTTTAAAAGGCAACCTAATCTGTGCAGCTTAGGGCAGACAATTTTGGGAGCCTAAGGTTTTCTAAACTCCCAAGTCTCACCCAAAATACTCTGGTTTCATTATTCCCCCAAGGGGGGACCGCGTTCTTTTGAGGTGATGGCTCCGAGGCTAATGTACTAGGGAAAAACCTGGATCTTCCCCCCTGAGATCTGAAGTTTGAGCAGATGTGGAGTTGAAACCCGTTAGTTTCTTTCTTAAAAACAAGTTTGGTCATTTCTGTGTCTTGCTGTAATTCAGGAATGAAGCAAAGCACCCCCACGAACAAGGTTGAAACTGATCCATACCTCTGAAGAGCGATCTCTTCCAGACA